TTTTTAATGGAGTTTGTTTAGCTTCCTGGACGTTTTTTATCAAACTTAGGAAATTTCGGGCCATTATTCCTTCAGCTATTCTTTCTGTCCTTTTCTCTCCTGGGACTTCCATTGGGCATAAGTTGGTGCAATTATATTTTTTAATTCAGATTTGGTTCATTTTTATCTTTATTGGTATTCTTCATTCCGCAAGATGTTCTCATGCTTTCCTTTATTTCTTTAGCTGCCATTTCATTTCATTCTTTGAACAAATTTGAAATTGTTGACTTAAAGTCCTTGTCTAGTAAATCCAACTTACAAGTTTCATTAGGGATGGTTTCAATTGATTGCTTTTTTTCCCTAGTGTATAGGCCATGTCTTGTTTCTTTGCAGGTTTCATACTTTTTCATTGGAAACTGGACTTTGAATTAATATAATGTGGTATGTGTTAGGTTCTGAATATCAGATTCTCTCTCCTCCCCAGATTTGTTGCTGTTGCTATTTCTTGTAGTTGCTGGTATTCGTTTGTTTAGTGACTTTTCTGAACGAATTCTGGATGACTTATGGTCTTTGTTGTTCGTGACCACTGAAGTCTGCTTGGCTAGCTTAGTAGTGAGCTAGTCAAGGGAACAGAAATTTCCCTTGCCTCCTGGAACCAATAAATGTCCTGTTCTTTGCCGGGGGACCCCGTGTAGGTGTTGGGGGATTTATTGCATTCGGCACACAGCCCAGGTAGGTGGCGCCTCTGCTTTGTCCTCTGCTTCCTGCTTGTGCAGAGCCTCCAAGTCAGCCAGAGGTGCGCGCCTAGGGCCACGTCAGGTCTTCCCTGATTGTCCACACAGCCCTACACATGCATGTGACTTCCGGATGCCCAGAAATGTTTTGGAGCTTTTCAAAACCCCTCTCGAGGTCTCATTCCCTAGCTCTTCCTTTTGAGGTTTTCTAGCTAGCCTGTTTTTTGCCCTGTTATCCTCTGTCTGAAGCAACCACAAAGTTTTGAAATCCTCTTTTGATGTCATCAACAAACATCCCTAAGGAAAAGCCTTTTTGTACTGGGAGAGCTTTGGGTCAAATCAAGCAAAGACAGCTTTACAAGTGGAAGCTCCCAGGGAGCTGACTGGTCCGAGAGTAATTCTCTGGGAATGGGGCTACAGGAGGGGAAGCGGGAACAGGGCAAGTCAAAATACCACAAAGCTCACTGATCTTACTGCAGGAGAATCATTTTTCTTGAATAAAGGCTTCCCATGTTGCTGTTGATTTTCAGAGTTCTGAAAAAGCGCACTGTAACGTTTTGGCCGGTTTTCTTACTGCTTCTTTGGAGGAGAAGACTTTTCAGAGGCCCTTTCTCCACCTTCTCCACCCCTTCACATGCTTATATCTGGGTTTATTTTCACATGCACGCACGTGTGTGGACACACAAGGCTCTAGCTTTCGCCTACCACCAGGGTTCCCCTGGCTTCTCTCTCTCCTTACCTTCAGCCCCTTCTTCGATGGGGGAAGCCATGCCCAGTGTCCCTGGCGGACTCAAGGGTAGCATGTCCTGTCACCCCCCACCCCCTCCTCCCCTCACCACTCTCTGGCCCTGTTCCAGGACCCTGCCCCACACCCCAAGGCCCTTCCAGCAGAGGCTGGCCTTGCCAACCTTCTTGGTAGCTTCTGGATTGAGGTCAGAAAGAAGATGGGGGTGACTGGTGCCTCGGCCGATTGAGCATCTGACTCATGGTTTCGGCTCAGGTTCGTGGGTTCGAGGCCTGTGTCAGGCCCTGCGCTGACAGTGCGGAGCCTGCTTGGGATTCTCTCTCTTCCCCTCCCCCACTCACCCCGTTTTTCTCTCTCTCTCAAAAACAAATAAGAATTTTAAAAACGTGTGTTTTTAAAAAATGAGGGGATAGAAGATGAGTAACGCAGTGACTGTTTCGCAACCTCTTCTTCCCGCCGCAGATGCCGAAAGAAGAACGAGGTTGCATTTCTGAACACAGCTGTGTGTTTGCCTCCCATTTGCTTGGCTGCCTCACCTTGGGGTCTTGGTTGTTCCTGGGGGAAATCTGATTAAAGCAAAAACAAGGTCCCCTAAAGACTGGGCGTGAGGTGCCGCGTGTTTCAGGCAACTTCTGGAGCCCCGGGGCAGGGCTTCCTGGCTGCGATGAGGTCCCCTCATCTCTCTGGCCGTGTGGCTTCTGTCACCCAGTCCCGGGCCTCCAGCAGGGCACACGCAGGAGCGGAGGGACCGGGCACATCTGGGGACTTGTGCCTCGTGGGCTGCGTGTGACTCTGCCGCGTGCCTCCCAGCAGAGCGGGAACAGCTTCCACGTGTTCGACCAGGGCCAGTTTGCCAAGGAGGTGCTGCCCAAGTACTTCAAGCACAACAATATGGCCAGCTTCGTGCGGCAGCTCAACATGTGTGAGTACCCTGCTATCTGGGCGTGTGGGGCGGGGCATGATGCAGAGCCTGGCGCATCTGGGGGGCCTGCGGCCAGGGCGCCTCTTCCCAGGGGAGCAGAGTCTCAGGGAAGAGTCTCTGAAGTCCCAGCCAGACACAGGCACACACGCTGGTGAGGGCTTGTCGTCTGGGGTATGGGGTCTCCCTTAGACCAAGACCACCCAGCTGCCGCAGGCAGTGGTGTGACCAGAGCCGTGCCAGGCATTGCCTTCCTCCCAGACCCCTCCCTTTGTCCCTCGGTGGGGCGATGCCCGGCCCTGAGGCAGAGCTGCTCCACCCCGTCATGTGCAGACGGCTTCCGGAAGGTGGTCCACATTGAGCAGGGTGGCCTGGTCAAGCCAGAGAGGGACGACACTGAGTTCCAGCACCCGTGCTTCCTGCGTGGCCAGGAGCAGCTCCTTGAGAACATCAAGAGGAAAGTGACCAGCGTGAGTAGTCTGCCTCCCTTTCTCTGCCTCCTCAGACCTTCCTCCAGACTATGAGAGGGAGCAGCGGCTACTTGCTGTCCTGCTGGACCTACGACTGCTAAGGGCAGTCAGCTGCTGGCCTGGCCGCCCTGAGCCCTCCTCGTGATGGGCCCTCTCCTCCCTGCTTGTCCATCTGGGACTCCCCTTGGCCGTTCCCCCATCAGCCACCACATTGAAGGCCCCTCTCCAGACTGCCAGCCCAGCCCCTTGGCCCTTCTGCGGCATCCCAGGCCTTCCCCTCTTCCCCCGGCGGGGGGGAGGGGTGGGCACCTCAGTAACTGTTTCCCCGTCCCCCCCGCCTCCACCGGGGTCCCAGGTATCCACCCTGAAGAATGAGGACATAAAGATCCGCCAAGACAGTGTCACCAAGTTGCTGACTGACGTCCAGCTCATGAAGGGGAAGCAGGAGAGCATGGACTCCAAACTCCTGGCCATGAAGCAGTAGGTTCCATGCGGCACGTGCAGGGGGGCGCCTAGCAGGGGACGTGGCGGGACGAGGGGACCCGTGGGAGGCAGCCTGAGGAAAGAGCAGACAGGAGAGGTGCAGGCCTGGGAACTGGCCACCCCCTCCTGGGGCCCCTTCCCACCAGCCCTGCCTCCTACAGTCTGAGACAGGGACGCTCCAGGCTTCTCCCAAGCGCAGAATTACATTTGGACTTGTGCGCGCGCCTTGGGAGACAGGGTCTAACCCAGTTCCCGCCCCAACGGGCAGAGCTGGGCTCCTGGCACCTGCCTCCCCTTTCGGCTCCTCACACTGCGTCCCGAGTGTGCACTCCACAGGCCGGGGTGGCTGGTCTTCACTGCCCCCACACGCCAACGCACCCGCTGGCCCCCACTGCCGCCGGGGCACGTTTGGCCACCAGTAACCGGCCCTGTGCTCCCCTCCTCAACCAGGACCCCTAACAGGGCTGGCCTGGGCCGCCTCCTATGCACTTGGGGGCCCCGGGGACCTCAGGAACCGCAGCCTAGGGTGGCTGTCCTCAGCTTGGTGTGGTCCGAAAGCCTCTCAGGGGGCAGGTCCTCATGACCCCCAAGTCCTGGAAGAGGCTCCTGGGCTCTGTCTCCACATTTGGGGCTGGCAGAAGCCTCTGGCTATAGGACATCTGGGTGTGGGGCCAGGTGAACTTGGGCTCCCAGGACATGGGTGCCTTGCAGGTTGAGGCCAAGAGGGGCAATTCCATGTCAGTAAGACACTTGGGGGCCCATCAGAAGGGCCAGGCTGCTCACAGCCCTGCTCACCCAGACCTAGTGACATAGGACGGGCATAGGACAGCTGCCATATGCTGCTCTGTACCCCTGGCCTTCTCTCCTCTCCTCAGGTTCAGGTGGGGCAGAGATGGCTCAGAGGGACGGTGGGGGGGGGCAACACTCAAGGGTGTCCAGGAGGTCTCAGGACCCTGGGGTCCACCCAACACACCCAGTCCTGTGCTCTGCCCCCACCCCCACAACTGACACACCCCTGCGTGTCCTCCCTGGCGGTCTGCCCCCAGCCCTGTTACCGCCGCACCCCAGACCCCACGCCTGCCCAGGGTGGGATGGGGGGCGGGGTTCTGTGGAGGGCCCCCAGCACTGCTGACCACGCCCACTGTGTTACAGCGAGAACGAGGCCCTGTGGCGGGAAGTGGCCAGCCTGCGGCAGAAGCACGCCCAGCAGCAGAAAGTCGTCAACAAGGTGTGCGGCGGGCCTAGGGGGAGCCTGGCGGGCCCCTCGCAGGGCCAGGCTAACTGTGCCCTTCTGCCCGCAGCTCATCCAGTTCCTCATCTCACTGGTGCAGTCCAACCGGATCCTGGGGGTGAAGAGAAAGATGTGAGGCACAGGGGGCGCCCGTCCCCAGCACGGGGCCCAGGGCCACCCTGTCTCCCCCTGGCTGAGGCCCGGGTGGCCCTGAGGTCTCAGGGAGGCACCTAAGCCCACCCCTTACCGCCCCCTCCCCCCCCCCCCCCCCGCAGCCCCCTGATGCTGAACGACAGCAGTGCGGCACATTCCATGCCCAAGTACGGCCGCCAATACTCCCTGGAGCACATCCATGGCTCGGGCCCCTACTCGGTGAGCGCCGGGCGCGGCAGGACTGGCCTGGGCGGGGGCAGGCACGTGCTGCAGCGCCTGCCACACAGGTCACCTCCCTTTGATGGCAGGCTCCCTCCCCGGCCTACAGCAGCTCCAGCCTCTACTCCCCAGACACCGTCGCCAACTCCGGACCCATCATCTCCGACATCACCGAGCTGGCCCCCGGCAGCCCTTTGGCCTCCCCAGGCGGAAGCATAGATGAGAGGTGGGGGCCACGTCACCCAACCGTCAGGAGAAGGGTGGGCCCACAGAGGCGGCAGCTGCTGACGTGTGTGTCCCCCGACGTGCAGGCCAGTGTCCAGCAGCCCCCTGGTACGCGTCAAGGAGGAGCCCCCGAGTCCTCCTCGGAGCCCCCGGGTGGAGGAGGCCAGTCCTGGACACCCGTCCTCTGTTGTGGAGATACCCCTGTCCCCGACCGCCCTCATTGACTCCATCCTGCGGGAAAGCGAGCCTGCCCCTGCCGCCCCGGCCACACCCCTCACGGATGCGGGGGGCCGTCGCCCCTCACCCCCGCCCCCACCTGCCTCGGCCCCTGAGAAGTGCCTCAGCGTAGCCTGCCTGGACAAGTGAGTGCCGCCCCACCCGCCTCCGCCGCAGCCTCAGGAAGCACGTCTGGGCCTCTAGCTAGCGCTGTCCTGGGGGGCTGGTGTGGGGCGGTCGTCAGGCTGTGGGCGCAGGGGCGCCGGGGGGTGAGCCAGCAGACCTGGCCCTGAGCTCAGAGCCCGTTGTCCCACATCCCCAGGGCCTCAGGAGCCAAGGGTGTGCAGCCTTGCAGGTCTGTCGCACCTGCTTTCTGAGCCGCTCTGGCCACTGCTGTCACCCCTTCCTGCGACAGGCCACTGCATCTGTCCTGCCCAGCAGAGGGCTTGCCCCAGAGGCCAGGCAAGCAAGGGCGGGGGGCACGGAGTCCACCTGGCCCCCACCTGCAATCGGGGGGCTCTTGTCTTTGTATCTTGCAGTTTGGCTCGCGCTCCACAGATGTCTGGGGTCGCCCGCCTCTTCCCCTGCCCCTCCTCTCTGCATGGCCGAGTCCAGCCAGGGTTAGCGCCGTCCCCACTGGGGAGGGAGGAGGGCTCCGCCAGAGCTCAGGCCCCTCCCCAGCTTCGGACCAGACCCTGGCCTGGCCATGAGCACTTGGCCCTGCCTGGTGAACGGGCGTCCCGGGCCCTGTGCAGCAGGGAGCAGCCCCCCCACCCCAGGCTCTGGGGCCCAAGCCAGTGCCCCAGCTCACTGACCGACAGAGATGAGCCTCCCCGCCTGGCACTGCCACTGGTGCAGCCAGGCTCCTGGCTGCCGTGCTGACTGGCTTCCTCTCAGGTTGGGGCAGGGCCCTGTGGACACCTCCCAGAGCCAGCCTGGCCACCTGTCCAACGGCACAGGTCCACCAGGTGGCCCAGGGCCTTCTCGGCCACAGCCTCCAGACCCAGGTCTCTTTCCCGGCATGCACCAGAGTAGAGACCTGCCCTCCATACCCTGCCCGCAGCTCCCTCTCCCCATCCCTGCTGTCTTCCAACGTAGAGACAAGACCTTGCCGAGCCTGAACACCGCCCCCAGCCCATCCTGAGCCCCCCCTGTCATTTTGGCTCAGCCATTTAGTGCTGTCAGAGGCCTTACTTGGCCTCACAGTGACAGGACCGGCTGGCACAGCCTGAGCCGCTCTCACCCCAGTGACCAAGCACCCTGGCCCTTTCCCACACACGTTCCCACCCCAGGCCCACACCAGGTGTGCGATGGGGCCCCACCTCGGAGGGCTTCCCATGAGCCCAAGCAGGGTGGGGGTATAGCTGAGGACAGCCCCTCTCTGTCTGGTGGGTGTGATCACCAGCAGGAGGGCACCTGGCTGGGGGTGCCTAGGGCTCCACTTTACCTGCCCTCCTCATTCTGTCTAGGACCGAGCTCAGTGACCACTTGGACGCCATGGACTCCAATCTGGACAACCTGCAGACCATGCTGACAAGCCACGGCTTCAGTGTGGACA